CCCCAAAACCCCAAAACCCCAAAACCCCAAAACCCCAAATGTTTTTAAATTTATTGAAATTATTATCTTAGCTAATAATGTCACAAAATTCTCGATCTCATTTGAGTGTGAACGAAGAACAGTTAAAGAAGAGGGTAAATACCCTTGAGAATCATGAAGTTACTATCCCGAATATGGCTCAGAAGAGCCGGAAGTGCAACTTCTACTGCTGCATGATTATATTTTGATTAATCTCACTAACTATTTTGATAATGGGGACATGCATGCTCATTATCAAGTGGAGAAATGCTCATATAATTTTTACTGCCTTTGCAGTCTGATTTTTAATTATATCATTATTGTTCGTAGCCAGGTATATACTTCATGTCAGTATTTTCCCTGGCTCACTGATCTGCATAAGGAAAATGCTTGAAGACTCTGTCTCAAGGCAGGTCTCTAAAGTTTACTCTAAGCGTATACTCTCGTACATCGAGATAGTGGAATCAATGAAGCAGAAATAAATTGATGAATTCTGCTGATCAGGAAGTCATCCAGGAACAAACAGAGGAGGTTCGAAGAATGCTCGAGTTTTTGCTTTGTGATCCTGAGAAACTTAAAAAGGATGGCTTCTTATCTAAAAATTCAATCTATTCTAAAATAATGCGTTTGAACGATCTGATTCATACTTCAGAGATTTGCATCTCGACAGGATCTTTTGAGCCACTGATAAAAGTTGGAGAATATTTATCCAAAGTGAACACCTCATTTTCTTCAAACAAATTATGCTTATATTTTAGAAACAGTGAGGAAAAGGAAGAAATTTTAAAATTGATGACAGATATAGCAAGAAAGCTTGCTGCTTATGGAGAGAAAAGCAGTTGTTGATCATTCATATGTTTCTGCAGAAAGCCTAAATTTGCTTCACCAGATCAAATGAGATGGTCTCTTGAGACAAAGTTTCATGGGAGACATCATACAATCCAAACGATTACAAGCCAAGGGATGTTGTGCTGCCATAAGACTCCTACCTTAGATGCCTACTTTCTGCCTTGAATCTACAGTAAGGACAGAGAAGTTGAGGAGAGAGCCATCAAGGAATGCCCTACTGTGATTATTTGATTTCCTAACGGAGGATATATTGAATATTTCTATTTCCAGTGTGAATGGGTGAACTTCTATCTTGAGTTAGGTATAAATGTGTTCCTTTGGAATTATAGAGGGTTCTATAACTCCACTGGATATCCGACATCACAGAACATTATTGATGATGTTGAGCTGGTGTATGACTATATTAGAGGAGAAATTGGTGCACAGGGCCCTATCGGCACTCATGGTGAAAGCTTAGGTGGATACGCAGCTACTCATCTTGCGAAACACAGAGACATAAAATTTTTGCTGATTGATAGATCATTTTCATGCATTGAGGCACTTGCTAGGATAAAGTATGGATATTGCTCGATGAAATGTTTCAAAATTATTTCAGAATTTAATATTCATAATGATCTAAACTTTATTGACTCAAATTGCTTCAAGATTGTTGCTCAAGACCCGGATGATGCAGTTGTTAATAATCTTGGAAATTTGAAAAATGGAATAACTTTCAGGATGATTGAAAAGTCTCCTGAATTAAATCATTTAAAAGAAAAGCATGCTAATGCTTTCTATTATGATTTTTATGATCTTTATCGACTTAAGAAAGAAATAAAAATATTATACAAATATTATCGAAATCAAGAACTACAAGATGAGGAGAAGAATGAGGAGCCTATCAATAAACATTCTCTTGTTCAATCTGGCTCTTCTACTTTTCCTCCTCATACTGGTAACAAAAGTGTTGATAATAAAAGTGTATCAGGCTGCACAAAGCCCAGTTCAAGAGGATCTTTATTTAAAAGCATGACAGGATCGGCACCTAGAAAAGAAAAAGATTTCTATAATGGTGAAGAATGAAAGAGTTCAGCTAATATAGAAGAAAACTGGAATGTAATCTACTATTATTAACCTACAGATCAGAAATTCTTCTAACCAGTCACAGACTAATTTGAGGAAGATAAATACTAGTTATTATCTCCGCTCCATAACTCGTAAAAGTAAGACCTAATCATGATCTTTAGCATCAAAGAAGGTTTCTATTGACGAGGAGGAAGACTTGTCTCTATCAGATGATTCAATGTCTGCCATTGTTAGCAACATAGATCATTTTAATACTCACAAGCTTCCAGAGAATCTTATCAAAGGTAAAATATATAAATAATATGTAGATCTGTATTTAATGATCAAGATGACTACAGCAATGATTTATAAACTAGACTCAGCAGGAGATAACCTCAAAGCTATCTTGATCAGGTGAGGTATCCTTGAAAGTGATGATATCCCAAGAGAGTTGCATCTATCAACAGGAACCCAAGCACGTATCAGAAATTTTTATATTTATCTTATCAATTTTGAGATCTGGGGAAGCTATAGCAACAGTCCTTATAAAGGGCTCCTTGAAAGGAGAATGAAGGCTCTATCCTCTCTTGGAGATCTAACGAATTCATTATTATTAAATCTTAAAAACTTTCGTAATAAGTACCCAGATTACGATAAATATGTGTGTAAAGTCTTGATCAGCGTTATCAAAGTGGTGCTTCACTTTGATTTAATAAAGAATATGCTAGTTAAAAAGAAAGACATGACCAGTGTGGATTTGAACGATGTCCAGATCCAGAATTTTAGCTTGACCCTCTCAAAGAGAAACATGAAAGGAAAATAACATCTCTATTGATCAAGAGTTCGATAAAATTGATAAACTTGGAAAACTGAATCTCTCTGATATTCAAGAAGAAGAAAAAGAGTCCTCTTACAATCTTGTTGGGATTAACGATGAGAAGGAAAAAAGACGAAATAGGAGGAGCTCAACATGTATGAAAAGTCCAATAGCTTCGATCAGCCCAAAAAGGCCAATCTGAGGATCTCATTTTTCGACAAATAGCATTAGTGAGATGTACAAAGAATCTACTAAAAGTAAGGCAATAAAACTCAATTGTAGATTTATTATATGCATATAAGGAAGAACTTGGGAAAATCTCAGATTGACCATGAAGCGGATTTTCTTCAGGCATAAAGCTCACTGGCAGCAAGAAATGATATTACTGTAGAGAATATGAGAAAACGGAGGAAAAGTTTACATCTTGACATCCTCTATATCAATCATGGAACCAGCCATCTCAGGACTCCATTGGAGTCTTCATCAATCTGAAGGTAAGACTTCACAGTAATCTTTAGTGAGGACATAGAGGAAATTATAATGAGAAAGAGAAGAAAGTATTATGCCACTGGATGAAAGAAGGAGGCTTCTCTAATGAAGATCCATACTTCCTCAACTTCACTGATGACCTCAGTGAGTCTGGGTATGGGGATGATTCCTCTGATAGTTTGACTCCTCCTAATGTAAGAAGGAAGAAATCGAATATAAGACGAAATAGTCATACTCCCGAGAAGTCAAGTCATCCTTCCCAAAGGAGTTTCACTCCTGAGATAAAGTCCTCGAAACAAATACCAGGCTCTCCTTTTCATAGGAGCTTAATACAAGATGAAGAGGAGGACTAAGAATTATCATGAAAGGAGTAATTAGATTTAGAATATTCAATAGGAATTTAGTAAACTGGGGTTTTGGGGTTTTGGGGTTTTGGGGTTTTGGGGTTTTGGGGTTTTGGGG